TATGTCAGGTTTTAAATTAATTTGAACTGAATAATATCTATTTAACAGCTTATCAATTGTAAAATCTTGACAATAAACTGAGTTTTGGGGAGCAGTTTCATCCCTAGTCACTTCTAATCACATTGGGCCCTGATTTTGACAGCGGGAACCTGGACAGAAAGCCAGGGCCACCCTTCCTCTGTCATCTCCCTTTCTCTGTAACTCTCTTGATGAGGTCTGAACCATGCAGTGTCCTCCTCACTGCCTCAGTCACACAGGAGTCTTCACATGCTTCACTGAGGGAATATGTTAGGCAGCTCAAGGGACTCGAATTTTGGAAAGCAGCAGCAATTTCTTTTCTCAGAAATTTTTCAAGCCATATCTAGAGAAGCAAAGAACCAGGGGGCCTGAATTCATAACAAAATCGTGTGCTTGGTTTTAAGTCATATAGTGGCTGCCCATTGGCAATAAAAGCATTAAAACTCTTAGCATCAGAGCACTTCTGTTGAAGCTGTTCTGCCCAGCTCACGCCAAGTGGTCATAACACAATATAGCAAGAGAAGACCTTTGATGTGAAGCCCATTCATTCTTTCCAGGGAGCCCTGCCCCATCTTCTCTAAAAGTTACTGTGCATAGGCCTCCTTATCTGAAGGCAAATGCTCTGTCTAAGCCCTAGGAAATGATCTTGTCAAATTGCAATTTTAAGCATATAACTTTAGATACAGTGCAGGTGTTCCTGGGAGATCTATGAGCTGTTTGATGATCCAGAAAAAGACATTCTTTAAATAATCTCATTTGCTGCCAAGACTGTTTTTCCATGTGCTCAAACACTTATAAAGACCCCAACCCCTCTCCCTGACAGTGTGATTCCTCTTCAGAAATTCACCTGCTATCCCTCTTGACAGTGCACCTGGCCTGAATATACTTTTATCTTTACCCTTATCCTTGCCTGGGTAAATTCTTCTTGCTGTCCATTTCACCAGCACTCTGTAAACTGCCTCTCATGGCAAGTTGCACCCTACCTGTCAAAAATACATGAATAAATAAACAGTAGATAAATAAATCAAGCATTTTACTGACCTTAGACTTCCAGAGGAAATCTGCACAAATCTGAAGAAGAATATGACCTCCACATACAAGAAATCTCTCTAACATCTCATCTATAACAGTAAAGTATGACACATTTATATAGGAATAATTTTCTGGTAAATGATTTCTGTTATGAAAATATTCTGAGTTATGAATATTGGTAAAAGGAGGGCTTAAATACTATGTTTCTGTATTCTCAGATGTAGTGTATTTTTAAACCATGTAGAAAACTTACAGAAGGGTTTACAAACACTACAGTTACATTTTGAAATATATGTCTATATGTTATTTTTAACAGTTTCATGCATTTAGATTCTTTTATCCACCACTCGACCACAAGCCCCTGCAATGAAGAAGGACATTTCACTCCCCACTAGATGAAGACAGACAAAGCCAGCACACACATGACCACTTGCCCTTGCAAAGCTTTCAGTCTGGCTGTTAGGTGACATTGTCTACCGTGTAGACAGTCATTCACTAACAAGATCAGATGTTTAGAATATGATTAGCATCAGGTAAATGTTATCAGACATATATTGCTATATATGCATATATAAATATGCACATATATTGTACAGTGAGTTCTCAAACTTTTATTTTTAAAGTTATTATACTATTTTAACACTTTGTTATTCATGATGAAAGTTAAATAGTGTAATAATTTCCCTCAGCAACCATGACAAAGTTCTGGATGACTAAAAGCCTGAGAAATTTATTTTCTCACAGTCCTGGAAATTGGAAGTTCAATATCAAAATGCCAGCAGGGTTGATTTCTGCTGAGGGCGCTTCCTCGTTTGTAGATGGCTGCCTTCTCACTGTATCTGCACGTGACTTGTTCTCTGCATGTGTGTGGAGACTGAGACCTGTGGTGGATCTTCCTCTTCTTGAAAGGACACCAGTCCTGTTGGTTTAGGGTACCATCTTTCTACAAATTCATTTAACCTTAATTATCTCTCTAAGAATCTGTATATCCAAACACATACATTGAGTGTTTGGGCTTCAGTGTATGCATTTTGAGGGGGAACAAGTCAGTTCATAACAATGACCTTTACTGGAAATGAGGTCCAAAATACACAATAGATATTGGGAAATAGGAAGAAATTGTTCAAAAGGCAAAAGGAACTAGGATGGAGGAAAGCGGAAAGGAAGAAAGGAGAAGGAAAAAACAAAATACAAGATAGCTGTATTACTACTTTCTCTTAGTTCACTGAAGAAAAAGATTTGTGCTAATATCATTTGGAGAATTTTTACACCCATATTTTGTACTCTGATTAACTACTTTAAAGATAACAATACTCAATGTATTAATTATTGTTATTCTCCTATTATTTTATTATGAAATTTTTTTTCGCCTTTTTTTCCATAAAAAAAGAAATAAGATCTTGGGTCTTTCTTTCAAAGTGACAATGAATTATGATAACACATTTGAGCAAAGACTTCTGCAAGTGACTGTGGCTCTATCCAGTAGTTAAATGCAGAGAGTTGAATTTGGAACTGAGTAATGTGGGAAAATAAAGCATCAACCTATTTTGCCAGCAGGGATCCTGATAGTGGCAGCATAAGTCTGGAGCTCGGGGCAGCTCCTGATTTTGCAAGCTGTGCTGTGACTTGGCATTTCCTGCAGTATCAGTGGCAGCTTTTCCAGTCGGGGCCCCTGCAACATGGCTCTCCAGTTAATGACACTGGCAGAAGCACCCTGCATCATTTATTCACCTGCTCATTCACTTGTTCCCACATATTTGCTGAAAGAGTAAATGAGTGACCCACTTTAGAACTCAAGAAACCCTATAGCAAAAGTGCTCTGACTCGTTGGCTCCCAGTAGTGGCAGTCAAAGCTCTTTTCCTCCTCAGGGAAGAGGCAGGATGAATTTTGGAGCTGGGAGTTATTGCCAGAGCTCAGGGCAGGTCCTGCATCTCCAGCACTTCCAAACTATTGCACACATTGAGTGCCTAACTAGCTGAGATATTATCAGCTGCCTGTTACCAAACACCTGAAGCTTCTTGCATCAGAATAGTGAGATGGGTTTTGTCTGGAACCCCAATAGGAGGGCTGACTCCTGAGAAATGACTGTTTTTTTCTGTAGATGCGCATCACAGTTCAAAATGCTTCAAATTAAAAAATGCTTCAAAGTTAGTAACCATCTGAATTTGATCATTCTAATCTGATTATATCCTCCTAGAACTTTCTTTCTAAATGTGAGCACCCAATCTTATGAACTACATGTTCTTTTCCTTTTGAAAATTCATTTTTTGGAGCCCTCACCTCTAGTGTGATAGTGTTTAGAAATGAAGGACCTAGGAGAATAATTAAGGTTAAATGAACAGTAGGGCCCTGATTTAATAGGACTAGTGTCTTGATCAAAAGGGACACTGACTGTCCTCCATATGCCCCCAAAAAGCTCCTACAAGCAGAACAAGAAGGTGGCCACATGCAATGCAAGGTGAGAGCCTTCACCAGGCATTATCCTTGCTGACACCTCACATTGGATTTCTAGTGTCCAGAACTAAACTTCCATTGTATAAGCCCACCAGGCTGTGATATTTCGCTATGGGAGCCACCTCTGCATGACCCTTGGAGTCTGTAGAATCATCTTCTGAACTGTTCCACCTGCCATTTCCTGGACTTTCTCCTTTTGCCAGATGGACATATACTGTTTCTAGTGTGACCTTGCCAAATAGGACCAGGGGTTAGCTATCCAGTAAGACTCTAATGCTGGGGCTGGGGATTTAGCTCAGTGGCAAAAACGCCTGCCTGGCAAGCACAAGGTCGTGAGTTCGGTTCCCGGTACCGGAGAAAAACCAAAAAAAAAAAAAAAAAGACTCTAATGCCTAGGCAGCCTTGGTGTCTATATACCTGTCTGTAACATTCCTTGATCAGTAATGATACGCAGAATTGCATCTCCATTTTCCATCCTTGTTTGAATTCCTAGAGCCTTAAGCCAGGGGCTGTACACAGCCACAGAATGCTAAAGAAGAATGAAAGCAAATGAGCTTTACTGGTTCTCCACTTTGTTATGGGATTTATGCTGTGTGCTTCTTCATATGCTTTGCCCACTTAACTGGCTCGGCTATGCAGAAGGTAGAATTTTTAAGGACAAGAAAAATGACGAATCTCAATATCGAGCCTCCCATGTTCTGTCTAGCACTTCCTATCTTTCTAGCTGGATCTCTTTAATATCCTGACTCTGAGTTTTCTTTAAGAAACAAGAATTGCTTGTTTGTGACTCACAGCATTCTACTGTCCCTCGTTCCCTTCAGGTATGCACTGCTTTCCTAATCTGGATCTGATGCTATGGCCCTGGTAATAATCACCCTCTTGAATCCTGTTGATTTTTCTTCCTATCACTTTAATTGCCTGGCTAAATGCCATCTAAGGATGAATCCAATTTCCTAGCTGCTCCATCCCAACATGTAGACAGGTGAATGTGACTGAACCCTAGCAAATTCATGATCCAGTGCCTCCGGGGACCAGTTAGCACTTGCAGGCACCATCTCTTCACTTTCTCAGTCTGTTCACCACCCCCCCACTGAATTATTTCATACCTTTATTCTGCTCAAATCCCCTAAATGTCTCCACAATCCTTAAATTAATCATTTTGATGAGAAAACAAGAAGGTATAACATCTGCAGTCAGTAACAATCCCGTCCCTAACCTGGCTACACAAATCCCCTAACAGAATGCCGTTAGTAATGAACATGAATAATGCCGTCTCTCTACTTGCTGGTTATTCTATCCCCTGTGCCTTACCAAAAGGTGACACTCCTGCAATGGTTTCTTCTCTCCTCCAGGTCCTCAGTCTCTGCTGAGTTCTCTCATTAGCAGATCAGTATGCTGCTGTTCCTTCCACTTAAATAGTCTCTTGTACTGACTTCCGCCTCCTTTATCATTCTGTTTCTTTGTCAACATTTGCAGCAAAACTTCTCACACTTACCTCCAGTTCTACTCATTCTGTTCTCCCTCAAATCCATTTCAGTCTTGGTTCCGTCTGTTACTCTTCCAAAACTGCTCAAGGTCACCAACAAATTTATATAGAGAACAATTATTTGTGCATGAATTAATAAAGTAAATATTGAGTATAAAATGGCAAATGATCAAAACAACCTTTGCCTGAGTCATGATTTTGCCGGAGGCTGTGTGTAGTTAAATATTAATGATTACTTTCACTTGTACAATAACAATTGCAAAAGCAAAGAAACTATAATTTTTCTCAGCAGAAAGAAGTAATACTAAAAATAAAATCAAATTTCTAGAAAGCTAACCACTACAAATTATTTTTACTGGTCACATTAATGAGCCTATTGATGTGCTAACAAACTCATTATTAATTTCTGACAACTTCCAAAACATTTTCAATCATAAAATAATGAGTCATAGATTAGTGTACAAAAAGCTGCATCAACATGCAGCACCAGAATTTCCTTAAAGGAATTATTGCTAACGTAGCTGACTGCAGGAAGCCCATGCGAGAAACTTTTGCCCAATCCTAGATACACAATACTTTGGACTTACCAATGGTTCAAAACCATTGCCTCCACAGCTTTTCTTCTTGGAATCCCAGTAGGAATAGTAACAATATCAACAATATCAAGGAAGAAAGTGTGAACTTTTAAGTCAAATTTTTACAAGGTGTATATTACCATGAAACAATGACTTTGACTAAATTAACATCAAATAAATATTTTTAGGCTTGGGGGTGTAGCTCAGTAGTAGAACCCTTGTCTAGCATGTGTGAGGCCTCAGGTTCAACCCCTAGCACCAAAAAAATAATAAAAAACAAGCAAACAGATATCATTACAATTGTGATATACATTGCTTTACATTTATTCACATAGGAATAGAGAACTGGAGCGCTAAAGTTTGTGAGTGAATGATGTGGACATTAGCTGTTACATTCTAATGAGCTATTGAAACTCATCCTTGTGGTATCCTTCAGGTCTTCAGGAAAGTGTAGCGATGATGTAGGTAGATCGCGTACATTGATTCAGCCAATCGGCATCAATAAATCCCACTTTCTGTGAGCATTCTGCCCACAGTGTAAAGGACACTATATTAGCTGTTATCCAGGGTCAGGAGATCCCAAGCCACGGGCAGTTTCACCCTGCCTTATAAACTGGGATGATTCTATAGTCACAAAACTCTGAATCTTCATGAGTCTTACAAGAAAAAGAGCCATAAATTTAAACAAATTTCCATCATTTACATCTCCTCTTTCCATTTGATCAGGAGAGTGCACTTGGTTGGATTTGAAAGAATTTGAAGTCACAATTAGGTTAGAACAAAAGTATTCTGGACCATGTTAGATACCTCTTAGGGGAAGGAAAATACATTTTATTTTTTCCATTCTCCTAGGTTTTATGCTATAATTGGAAATTTCTTAGATCTCTAGCTCAGTCTCTAGATAAAATCCTGAAATTAGGGGCTCCATTTTGTTATCACAGTCTTTTCAGGGCTAAAATAACTTTTAAGTAGAAAAATGAGCCCTAGAATTGTCCAGAAGGCAACCGGCTGGCCAAGAGTGTTCAAGGAGTCCAGGTCTATCCAGCTCACAGACATAAACAGCGAAGTGACAAAGTAGCAACTTCATAGTTTTGCCCTGAAGGCTCAAATCAGAATGTCTCTGCAAAGGACATGAATTCATTCTTCTCTATGGCTGAACAAGCTTCCATTGCTTATATATACCACATTTTCTTTGTCCATTTATTTCTTAATGGGGTCTAGGCTGGTCTCAAACTTAGCTGCTGTAAATTGCACTGTTTCTACAAACATGACATTATCACACAAAACAAAATAAGCTGGAGGCAGAAAGCTAATATAGTATTTTGTCTTATATAAGAAACCTAAAGGTAAATAAATAAATGAAAAAAATAGAGGGAAGATGATAGGAAGCTAGAAGGTAGATTCTTGGAGATGGAGAAAAGGGTTGGGCATCAAAGGTAGGAGGGGGGAGTGAAAGGATCGGAAATGATCAATACATTACATGAGTGTGCCAGTTCCTAGCAGAAATACAGATGGTTAGATATGAAACAAAGAAAATCATAATTTTTAAATTGTATTTTCAAGAAAACTGTACCTGCAGGATACAGTCAGTTACCCCAGGTTATCTCTATCTGTATTCCATCTATACCGCCAAGGGCACAAACATACTCCCAACCTCAGGGCTTGGGTGCCTCTCCCATGAGGACCCACACTCTGTCTTCTCCCAGTGTGCACTTCTGTATCTCTACTTAGTAAAGCCTCTCTCTGCCTCCCGCTCATGTGTCTTGAAACTTTTTCCTGTAATCAGTCATGAATCCACTTGGATGGCCTCATGTCTATAGGGATACTTCTCAAACCCTGTCAGTGGGAAGGGGGCCCAGAAACCTGCATTGTGCCTGCTTCTTGAGCACTTCTCATTGTACACTGTGGTGTGAGAACCACTGCTCTCTTAAGTTAAAGCTGGTCAGAGGCATTTCTTTACTAGTGGTCCTCAAACTTAAACTGTATCTGCAAGCAGTGGACTTCAGTCTCTTCAAAATTAAATAATGAGAGAGAGTGCATCTTTTATATCTCAGCTGCCTGTATTAAAATAATTAAGGGATACATGCAAATGTACAGTATGTTTCCCCCAGAATAATAAGCCTGCACTAGTTCATTTTAATACTTTATTCAAGCCTTTTCCCCATCTATTTACCATTCTTAAGCTTAATAACTTTCTTCAGATTATGCTATTTTTTAGTAGATGAAAGTTTTGCCTTTTGACTGTTTGGTATCAATTTTTTTTTTTTTTTTTTTTTTTTTTTT